TCCGTTTGACATGATAATGTGTTTAATTCAGTTTTGCGCAACTTTCACAGAAACGAAACTTAAAACCGCATCGCTAATTTGCATAAACTAAGCGAAGATAAAACTACAGCTCTTGTGTCGCTGATGCGGTCAATTTCTGTAGGATTAAAAGACAAGACTCGGTGGAATACAGGTATTTACCATATTTGCGTTTGTCAAAACCAGGACACCGTACGAGGGGAGGGAGGTGGGATCTCGTCATTGACATTGCGCGACTCTCACCTGGCAAAACTTTTTCCCACTGGACACAGAAACATATGTGCTGCTTTGTACACTGTGCACATGGACTCACACTTGTCCGAACGCAACGGAGCGTGGATTTTCTTGTACAAGTCATCGTTAAATATACATTTGTTCTTCAGTACGCTGCAGACTGACCGACTGTTTGTGTTTGCTCCTTCTGAGTGCAGAGACACATGTACTGACCCCTGTTTGGTCACACTACGCACAGCAACCTACATTCGGTTTGTCGATTAAAATTAACGTAATCGATGAAATTCTTAATGATCAATTATCGATTAATCATGCCCATCCCTAATATCAATCCGCCGCTGCCCAGCTTTCTATCAGGAAATACAACTCACTGCTGCTGCTCAAACATAAATCCTTCAAATGCAAGGTTGGTTTTACTTCTAAAATTATTCTTTTGTGAAAATTTCAAAATCTAAATCTAAATGTAAATCTAAATCGCAATATATCATGTTTTAGTATCGGGATATATCGGGATATACTGAATCGTGACATGCGAATCATGATATGTATCGTATCGTCAGACTCCTAGTTTCTACTTTACTGCTACTTTTACTTCCATTTCTGTAAGTTTGAAGTATCAGCAGGTACTTGTACTTCGTGCTTTCGCATATCCTGGCAAATTACGGCAAACCTGCCCCTTGTGTTTTGTGTGAATCACTGAAGTCGTGACTCAGCCTCGGGTGAACTTTAATTAATTTCTGTGGGATTAGTGCAGTGTATAAAGCCAGAGGATTCTTTGAGGTTACATTAGAATAGACAGCCATAAGCCCCAGTAATTATCCCTGCAGAGTTACTTTTCTCCGTCTGATGCCCAGCCAATAAAAAATCAAATGTACAGAGAAGGTACACTTGCATTAAAGTTTAAAAAAAAATTCACATTTTCAAAGCTGCTTGTGCAATGTTTAAAAATTCAAATGACAGGCTAGACTGCTTTTTTGTGTGTTTGTGATCTGTAACCTGCTTGTTTCCATAGAGATGTCATCACTCTCTGTCTGGAATATTCCACAGTATAACAATAAACAGCTCTACTTTACATTTATTCAATTACAGGTGGATTTATAGCTCAAAAATACTTAGAAAAACAGCATTTTGGCGGTAGCGAGCAGCGTCGCCTCTCCACAGATCTGACCTGTAACTTCGTCTGGTTTGGTCTCCATGAAGATAGAAAGGTTTAATGCCATACTGTGAAACATTCCAGACAAATTACAAAACATGTCCATGAAGAAAAGCTTTTGACGGACCCTCTGATGGACTTGTTTAATATTGTGATTTCCCAAAAAGAAAGAAAACCTTTTCACTTATTTGGCTTGAGTTTTGTAAAATAATGTATGCATAATTAATCCGTGTATCCTTCGTTTCATTCGTTTTTCAAAATAAAACAACAACAAAAAAACAAAATGCAAAAAAACGGATAACAATTAATTTTTCAGTTTTTGTGTTTAAATGAATAATGAAAAAAAAAATAGATAACATCCATTTCCCTTTTCCAGTGTATACGGACTGAACCAGGACTGAACTGGTCTCACTCCTGGTCTCAGTGTCGGTCTGGTCCCAGTCTCAGTCCCGGTCTCAGTTCTGGTCTGGTCCCATTCTGGTCCTGGTCTCAGTTCTGATCACCCGACAGTCTACGCGGGCGCACCTTCAGGCCCTGGTTCAGTCCTAGTTCAGTCCTGATTCAGTCCTGGTTTAGTCCTGGTTCAGTCCTTGTTCAATCCGGCATCACACTTTAAGTCATGAAAATGTGAAATGGCCATTATCCAAAAACTGAAAAAATGAATCGTTATGTTTTTTTATTTTGGTTTTGGAAAATAGTTGTTTTTTAATTTTCTTATTTTTGGTTTTATTTTGAAAAATGAATGAACGAATGATACACGGATTATAATTCCACCATAATTCTATAATTTATTAATTGTTGCCAAAATAATAAAATTCCATGTGAATATTGACATAACTTGTTTTATATAACGTACTGTGTCTGCCATATTTGTATGACCTGATAAGAGTTTTCTTCTATCTGTGGACTCCTCATATTGACTTTTTCTTCTCACTTCCCTCACACCGACTGATGCATCGATCGAGGCAACTTAACCCCCAGCACTCAGCTTACTGAATCATTATAGACACATTATAGACACATTCTGTTCAAACAGCCTTTTAGGTCACTTAACGGTCATATATAAACTATAAACTACCATATCTTCTGCTAAGCTTCATATTGTATTCTTGATTGGAAATTAGTTGAATAAAAATCAGCTTTTAAAGAGGTCTGGACAGGAAATCAAAATTATTAGATTTAAGTCTCATGATAGGATAGCATCACGGTACGATATTTATTGCGATATCGTGGGAAAACTCACGATATGGTGGGGAGGCTCACGATTAGGGATGTAACAATATCCAAATCTCTCTGTACGATATTTTCACGATATAAATCTCACTGTATGATATTTATTGCGATATTTTGTGGATGATAACAAACTGTTGCGTATTTTTCCTCGTAAAATGCCTCGAAAAGACTTAATCCAAAGAATTAAGACTTAAAAGTGCTTAGAACTGTTATTTCTTAATGTAGTCTACACCGAAATGGAGCAAAGGATCATGGTCTATGTAGTTCCCTCTGTCTTTTTTTAGCTATTGTTGCACCTTAACTCTTAATTTAAGCAAAGAGACTTTTAATTCGATATATTGTGATGGTCCACGATGTTATTGTGAGACTTTTGACAAAATTATATCACGATATTTCGGTTATTGTTACATTCTTATTGATCATAGATTTGCCCAAAACATGTGACATATATTTCAAAATGCTGATGTGTGAATGATGATACAGAAATGTTATGCTTCTTCAGACATTATAAAGACATTCTCTTTGTATGTTTGATTTTATGAATTATAACATCAACCTGCCCAGGGACGACAGGTGGAAATGAGCACTGACACTACAACCTGGTACACTGTTAAAATATTAGAATAGAATAGAAGCCTTTATTGTCATTATACAGTATAATGAAATTCAGAAAATGTACGTTCAAGACGCAAAAACACACACAAAAAACACAAAAAAAGGAGCATAGATACAGAGAGCTGAAGTCGCTGCATCTTTGTGCGCCGCCATTCACACATAAACATAAATGTTAAGGTTAATATATATTGTTCACTGTCCCTGTCTCATTAAATAAATAAACTAAAGTAAATATTTTTTTTCTTTTTTAGTATTTATATGTCCTACTTTCAGTGTTGGGGAGTAACAGATTACATGAGTTACGTAATCAGAGTACAAATTATGAGTAACTGTATTCAGTTACAGTTACTGTACAGTGAGCGGTAATCGGATTACAGTTACTTTGTTGAAATAAATGGATTACAGGGCAGTATTTTCCTGTTTTCACATTATGTTTATTTTTATTTTTACTTATTTATTTTTCGGTAATTCCACTCATTGCTGGAAACTAAACCAGGTCTAAAACCAGGTCTAAACCAGGATTAAAACCAGGTCTAAACCAGGTCTAAAATCAGGTCTAAACCAGGACTAAAACCAGGTCTAAACCAGGTCTAAACCAGGACTAAAACCAGGTCTAAACCAGGTCTATCTAGATCTAAACCAGGATTAAACCAGATCTAAACTAGATCTAAACCAGGACTAAAACCAGGTCTAAACCAGGTCTAATCTAGATCTAAACCAGGATTAAACCAGATATAAACTAGATCTAAACTAGGACTAAAACCAGGTCTAAACCAGGACTAAAACCAGGACTAAACCAGGTCTAATCTAGATCTAAACCAGGATTAAACCAGATCTAAACTAGATCTAAACCAGGACTAAAACCAGGTCTAAACCAGGACTAAACCAGGACTAAAACCAGGTCTAAACTAGATCTAAACCAGGACTAAAACCAGATCTAAACTAGATCTAAACCAGGACTAAAACCAGGTCTTAACCAGGACTAAACCAGGACTAAAACCAGGTCTAAACTAGATCTAAACCAGGACTAAAACAGGATTTAACAGGACTAAACCATGCTGCGTGGACGTGTCTCCTCCTCTTCTATCAATAATATTTTTAATACAGTTAAAATATCCTGGTCTTTGCTTCTCTACAGCAAATCAAGTAATCCAAAGTATTCAGATTACGTTACTCACTTTGAGTAATTTAATGGATTACGTTACAAACTACATTTTGGGGTATGTAATCTGTAATCTGTAGGGGAATACATTTTAAAAGTAACCTTCCCAACACTGCCTACTTTACACAAAATCGATCATTGTGAGCTTTAAATCGGGTTATACACGTTGATACATCATTAAAAACATACCTGGAGGTGTTTTGTTTTATTCACACATTTTTGAGCAACGCAAAGCCCAAAATACTTCAGTCTCCAAAACTCAGAATGCTTTGTTACAGGGATTGTCAAGTGTACATAATGCAAGATAACATTGCAGCCATGATTTAAACTGTATACATTTTATTTGGACATGAATTGGTTTCTGGCTATCGTACTGTTTTGTAATTTCGTATGGACTAAGGTGGAAATGTACAGTATAAGTATGTATCTGGGAGTTCTTTCTTCAATTTCAAGATGGAGCCAAAATGTAATCAACCCCAAGGGATCAACAAAGGGAAACATGTCATAATTTGTCATTGTTAGGGATTTTAGATTGTGAGGTATGACTCATAATTTATTTATTTTATTTATTTTCTTGTGTTTCAGGAGTCGACTTTAAGATGAAGACCCTGGTCATAGACGGCATCAAAGTACGGATACAGATTTGGTAAGTTTGCTGTACCTTTATCCATTTTATTTAAAGGTGCAGTATGTAACTTTTCCGGTCCGTCCTTTGCTTGTCTCCATGAAGATTGCCTGGAAAGTTCCACAGTATGGCATTAAACTTATCCAGGCTTCACGTATTACATTATGACTGCTAAAAGAAGTAAAAACCCATGTATTATCAATATGACTGGGCTCGCTTCTCCACAGATCTTACCTAGGCTGTAGCTTGACCTTTATAGAAGTAGAGGAACGTTTAAAATCATTGTGGGCTGAGTTTTACCATCTTAAAAATATTTAATTGTGTGTGTTTGTGTGAGAATGTTTATGTTTGTGTTTATTCATTCGTTATTCATTTTTATGTTTTTATTATTATTTTTTGGTGAGAAGTCACTAATTAATGGGGGGAAGGGATAAAAAAACATTTCACTTTTCAAGATCAGACTGGAGTTTTGCCATGACAGTAACGCTAACTCATGCTAATGCGCACTTCCTGATTATTGGAAAACGGAGCGCTTTCTAATACTTCTAATGCTCAAATTCATGGGAGCTTTTACACAACACTGTGGAATATTGTTTGGAAAAGCAATAACATCTCCATGGAGACAACCTTTACAAGAAAAGTTTCACAGTGCACCTTTAATTTATCTGTAAATTATTAAAAATACAGTTGTTTATTTTGATTATAGGGACACAGCAGGACAGGAGAGATACCAGACCATTACAAAACAGTACTACAGACGCGCCCAGGTAAGTACGGATATCATTCTTAGCAACAGATAATTTGGTAGGGTAAATGTAATTCCCGGTTAATGCGTTTCTACTGCAAAATATCTGTGAAAATGTCTAGCGTATTTTCCACCAGCTTCATGAATCTGCCCCTTCACCAAATCTTCATTCAACAAGGTCGACAGTGGACATGTTCTCTCCTTGAAGAATTTATCCACAAAGGCACTAGGTTCTGGAACAGTCTCCCATTATCAATAAGAGACTCTAACACTGGCCACTTTCAAATCACACTTGAAACAGTGCCTATTAAATAAATAAATAAATAAATAAGATATTCCACAACTATCAAGGTAAGAAAGATGAAAACTTGAAGGTGAACGACTTGCATTAGTGAACTACTACTGAGCAAAACTAACTTTATGATCACGAATAAAACATAAGTAATAAGTGATTCATTAATAATTAACTTATTAACTCAGATTAATACTGCAATGAAAATGAAAAATCGATTGATGTAGATATTAGCACAGATAGACTTGTGCATCTTAAATGATAGACATGTAATCTGTGAATATTTGTAGCATTCAAACTGCACAAATCTCTCTGTCTGTGTTAATATCTACATCAGACATGTCAAACTCAGGCCCAGGGGCCAAATTTGGCCTACGATATAATTATATTTGGCCCGCAACATCATATCAAATATGTATTAGAGCTGGTCCACTGGCTACAGATAGATTATAGAGACATTATTTATTTAACATCTTATTATTATTTTATATTATGCTTGTTCTGGATTCAATGTTTAAGCAAAACTATTAAACATTTATTTTAATAAGAAAAGGTTCAACATTACATATCTCGAAAGAAGAGAAAGCATGCAGATGTTGTTGAAATTAAAATAAAAATATTAAGTGTGGCCCACGACTTAGTCCCAATTTTTTATTTTGGCCCTCTGTGAATTGGAGTTTGACACACCTGATCTACATCATGAAATCAGTTTTTAATTTTAATTATAGAATCAGTCTGAGTTAACACGTGACTTGGGTTTTATTCATGACCATAAAGTTAGTTTTGCTCACCAATACTAGTCCTTCTTCACTTTAAAGTTTTCATCTTTCTTACTTTGATAGTTGTGGATAAATTCTTCAAGGACAGAATATGTCTTTTGTCGACCTTGTTGGATGAAGATTCGGTTTGTGATGGGGCAGATTTATGAAGCTGGTGGAAAATACGCAAGACAGATATTTTGCTGTAGAAAAGCATTAACTGGGAGTTACGTTTACCCTACACCGTTGTGAAAAATGTCTATAAAAAGAAAAAAAAAAAGTAATAATAATAAGTTACATGAAATCAAATATGCAGCTTGTGATGTTGAGCTCATCATAACTGGCTTTAACATGCATACTTAGTGTATATTTTTACAGTTTCAGCGGTTGCCATGGCGACCCGCGTCTCCTCTCACAGCAGCGATCTTTTATGTCCTGTTTCACTACATCTTTATATCTACCCTTTGGTCTTCTCCTCTTTGGATGTGGTGAAAGAAGACATACTTCTTGCTGGTTTTCATCATAACAGATATACAGCAAAGTATTCTGGGTATTCTGTAGGGATTTAACGATATCAAAACCCCTCGATACGACATTTTCTCAGTAGATGCTGCACTACTTATCCAAACATGAAATTTACTGGTTCCAACTTTTTGTGAAACCACATTAATAAACACTTACAGAAATGACTATTAATATCAGTGCCAGATCATTTTTACTGATTATAAATATCACAAACAATTAAAAGTAACAGTCAGTGAATTCAAGTAGTTAGCATAACAATTAGCATCGCGAAAATTAGCATATCAACATCGGGCTAATTTACATAACAATGACGCATCAAAAACGTGCTAACTAGAACATTTCAAACACAAAAACAAATATTACAGGTGTATAATTATGTTTTACCATGTAATACTTAAACAAACACCAAAAGAAAACACCAGAACAGAAGAGCGGCCATTTTGTCAAAGTGAGGCCCGAACAACAACATCCTGTCTAACGTTGTTCTTTTACTATTATTACTAAAAGAATAAATTAAAGTGGCCACTAGATGGTGTAATTTAGTAAGCAAAAATCATAAGACAGTCATGTATAGTAAACATAACAATATGCATCTCATGGTTCGATATTTGTTGCGATGTTTTGTGGAGGTTTATAAAATTGTGAATATGCTACTTTTTCCTTTTAAAAGCCTTGGGAAAAGCCTTGAGAAGCATTTGTTACTGTTATAATATGAAGAATTAAGATTTAAAAGTGTTTAATAACAGTTATGTCTTCATGTAGTCTGCATTAACAGCACCAAAGGATCATGGTCAATGTAGTTGCCTCCGTGTTGCACCAAGGCCAGTTTATTTGTAGCACAGTTCATACACAAAGTTGCTGAAATGGGCGGGTTTTAACGTTTTGGAATTTTACGGGCAGGTAGAGATTACACACAGGCGGGTCGGGACTAAATCAGGACTAAACCAGGACTAATCTTGGACTTAAGAGAGAGAGAGAAAAAGTCCAATCGGACGAAGGCAGCACTTACCTCCGTGCCCGTGGAGATCTGCTCCGTTTTGCCTGTGGTCGCGGGCGCACCTTCGAGTCAGTCCCGACAGTGAGTCCTGGTTCAGTTCTGGCTTAGTCCTGGTTTACTCCTTGTTTTAGTCCTAGTTCAGTCCTGGTTTAGTCCTCCTGGTTCTGTCCTGGAATCAGCCCTGGATCAGCCCTGGGTTAGTCCTGGTTTAGTCTTGGTTCAGTCCGTGGCGTGTGCGGCACAAAAATCCAGCATCTCGATCAGTGTTTCTTCTTCTAATGCCTGTGAAGTGATGACAGTCGAATCTTGTCTGTGAATTGGTATTCGTACTGAAGAACGCGTAACCGTTTCATTTAATTTTGTGATTGTAATTCTTGAAGTCATAACTTTTCAGTTCATATTCTGATGGATATTTCGCTTTGTCTGTGACTTATCAGAGGCACGGGCGGCTAACGGGTGGAATGTTAACGGGTCCGGGCGGGTCCTGGTTTAACTTGGATAAAATCACAGATTAACGGGCGGGTACGGTGCTGTACTGCGCAGGTGCGGGTGGGTCTCCAAAAATGGACCCGTGCAGGACTCTAGTCTGCATTCACAGCACCAAAGGATCATGGTCAATGTAGTTCCTTCTGTTTTTTAGCTGTTGCTGCACCATGGCAAGTTTATTTGTACAGCACAATTCATTCAAAGTGCTTTACAGAAGAAGAAACACATTACAATCACAAAGACACACATTAAAATCACCACAACTATGAATTTAAGCAAAGCGACTTGTTATTCGATATATATTGTAATGACCCACGATATTCTTGTGAGACTTTTGACGATACGATATCACAATGTTACTGTTACATCCCTCGTACTCTGTGTTCCAACATGAATACACACTGAACTGCATTGAGGCGTACTGAATTAGGAACACAGGTTATGCCAATTTGGATACAGCCGGTTCTGTTCTTTGGCCGGACACAGTGAAATTGTATCTTTATAATGTGAGATTGAAAGTGAAATGAACCCACTGAATCTGTAATACATCATTTGGTGCTCTGTGATGGAGGAGTCTGTTCTGAATGTATTTGAATTTACCACAGAAATAGACCACGGAAATATACAGATGAAATATAAAGCAAAGAGAGGCGAGTTTATTTGTAGAGCACAGTTCGTACGCGAAGTAATTCAAAGTGCTTTACAGAATAATAAACACATTACAACCACAATACAAACAAATCAAAATATAAATAATCATCGTAAAATGTATAAATAGAGACATTAAATGAGAGAGAATGAGATATAAGAGTGAGGAGTGAAAACCTCTCACAGTTTTGAGCCTGGATTTAAACAGAGTCAAAATAAAAGCCTGTCTCACATCTTTTCCTGGTTTTAGCTGCATAAAAATGAGACATAGTTAGTCTAGCAGCTGAAATACTCTTTCGTGACTTGGAAGACCTTCAAATAACTAACTGAAAATGCAAAATACACTGTAAATTATATCATTGGGTTTAAAGGGCCCATATTATGCTATTTTCTGATTTGTGTTATAATGTTGTTTCCTCATCAAGGACACACCCGGAGTTGTGTTTTGTTTCATTCACGTGTGCAGAAAAATCGTCGCCTCCATTATTTTCTGTGAGCCAACACGTATCCGCTCTGTGATCGACAAAAGGAGCTGTAAACTTTGAGGAGATTCACGAGAGCTGCAGGAGCGACGAGGAAAGCCCCGGTGTTCAACTCTGCAAAACACCGGCTCTTCTCCTGTTTGTCTCTGCGTGGGGAAACTCTCTCGCCTCTCGCTAAATTCACTATAACCTTTTCAAACCAGTGCCTTTCCTTTGCTCTCACATGTCTCTCCTTTTAGAATCTGCTGTTCAAACGCTAATTTATAACACAGCAAGAGTTTTGTCAAAGCCTTTTTAAAAGCCGTGACACGTGGCGTTCAGTGTGTGTCGACGCGTGGGTTTGATGCGTTTTGATGTGCGTTCGCCTTTAGTAGTGTAATAGTACTCGAGACCGGCCTTGAGACCTTTTTTTTAAGGTCTTGGTCTCGTCTCGGACTTGACCACATTTAGACTTGGTCTTGTCTCGGTCTTGAAGGAGCTTGGACTCGGTTTTGTCTCAGTCTTGAAGGAGCTTGGACTCGGTTTTGTCTCAGTCTTGAAGGAGCTTGGACTCAGTTTTGTCTCATTCTTGATGGAGCTTGGACTCAGTTTTGTCTCATTCTTGGAGGAGCTTGGACTCGGTTTTGTCTCGTTCTTGAAGGAGCTTGGACTCAGTTTTGTCTCATTCTTGGAGGAGTTTGGACTCGGTTTTGTCTTGTTCTTGAAGGAGCTTGGACTCGGTTTTGTCTTGTTCTTGAAGGAGCTTGGACTCAGTTTTGTCTCAGTCTTGGAGGAGCTTGGACTTGGTTTTGTCTTGTTCTTGAAGGAGCTTGGACTCGGTTTTGTCTTGTTCTTGAAGGAGCTTGGACTTGGTTTTGTCTTGTTCTTGAAGGAGCTTGGACTCGGTTTTGTCTCAATCTTGAAGGAGTTTGAACTCGGTTTTGTCTCAGTCTTGAAGGAGCTTGGACTTGGTTTTGTCTTGTTCTTGAAGGAGCTTGGACTTGGTTTTGTCTTGTTCTTGAAGGAGCTTGGACTCGGTTTTGTCTTGTTCTTGAAGGAGCTTGGACTCGGTTTTGTCTTGTTCTTGAAGGAGCTTGGACTCGGTTTTGTCTCAATCTTGAAGGAGTTTGAACTCGGTTTTGTCTCAGTCTTGAAGGAGCTTGGACTCGGTTTTGTCTTGTTCTTGAAGGAGCTTGGACTTGGTTTTGTCTTGTTCTTGAAGGAGCTTGGACTCGGTTTTGTCTTGTTCTTGAAGGAGCTTGGACTCGGTTTTGTCTCAGTCTTGAAGGAGCTTGGACTTGGTTTTGTCTTGTTCTTGAAGGAGCTTGGACTTGGTTTTGTCTTGTTCTTGAAGGAGCTTGGACTCGGTTTTGTCTTGTTCTTGAAGGAGCTTGGACTCGGTTTTGTCTTGTTCTTGAAGGAGCTTGGACTCGGTTTTGTCTCAATTCTTGAAGGAGTTTGACTCGGTTTTGTCTCAGTCTTGAAGGAGCTTGGACTCGGTTTGTCTTGTTCTTGAAGGAGCTTGGACTTGGTTTTGTCTTGTTCTTGAAGGAGCTTGGACTCGGTTTTGTCTTGTTCTTGAAGGAGCTTGGACTCGGTTTTGTCTTGTTCTTGAAGGAGCTTGACTCGGTTTTGTCTTTCTTGAAGGAGTTTGACTCGGTTTGTCTCGTCTTGAAGGAGCTTGGACTCGGTTTTGTCTTGTTCTTGAAGGAGCTTGGACTCGGTTTTGTCTTGTTCTTGAAGGAGCTTGGACTCGGTTTTGTCTTGTTCTTGAAGGAGCTTGGACTCGGTTTTTGTCTCAGTCTTGAAGGAGCTTGGACTTGGTTTTGTCTTTCTTGAAGGAGCTTGGACTTGGTTTTGTCTTGTTCTTGAAGGAGCTTGGACTCGGTTTTGTCTTGTTCTTGAAGGAGCTTGGACTCGGTTTTGTCTTGTTCTTGAAGGAGCTTGGACTCGGTTTTGTCTCAATCTTGAAGGAGTTTGAACTCGGTTTTGTCTCAGTCTTGAAGGAGCTTGGACTCGGTTTTGTCTTGTTCTTGAAGGAGCTTGGACTTGGTTTTGTCTTGTTCTTGAAGGAGCTTGGACTCGGTTTTGTCTTGTTCTTGAAGGAGCTTGAACTCGGTTTTGTCTCAGTCTTGAAGGAGCTTGGACTTGTTTTTGTCTTGTTCTTGAAGGAGCTTGGACTCGGTTTTGTCTTGTTCTTGAAGGAGCTTGGACTCGGTTTTGTCTTTCTTGAAGAGCTTGGACTCGGTTTTGTCTTGTTCTTGAAGGAGCTTGGACTCGGTTTTGTCTCATTCTTGAAGGAGCTTGGACTCAGTTTTGTCTCATTCTTGAAGGAGCTTGGACTCGGTTTTGTCTCGGTCTTGAAGGAGCTTGGACGCGGTTTTGTCTTGTTCTTGAAGGAGCTTGGACTCGGTTTTGTCTCAATCTTGAAGGAGCTTGGACTCGGTCTTGTCTCGGTCTTGAAGGAGCTTGGACTCGGTCTTGTCTCAATCTTGAAGGAGCTTGGACTCGGTTTTGTCTCAATCTTGAAGGAGCTTGGACTCGGTTTTGTCTCAGTCTTGAAGGAGCTTGGACTCGGTCTTGTCTCGGTCTTGAAGGAGCTTGGACTCGATCTTGTCTCAATCTTGAAGGAGCTTGGACTCGATCTTGTCTCAATCTTGAAGGAGCTTGGACTCGGTCTTGTCTCGGTCTTGAAGGTGCTTGGGCTCGGTTTTGTCTCATTCTTGAAGGAGATTGAACTCGATTTTGTCTCGGTTTTGAAGGCGCTTGGACTCGGTTTTGTCTCGGTCTTGAAGGAGCTTGGACTCGGTCTTGTCTCGGTCTTGAAGGAGCTTGGACTCGGTCTTGTCTCGGTCTTGAAGGAGTTTGGACTCGGTTTTGTCTCGGTCTTGAAGGAGCTTGGACTCGGTTTTGTCTCGGTCTTGAAGGAGCTTGGATTCGGTCTTGTCTTGGTCCTGAAGGCGCTTGGACTCGGTCTTGGAGGAGGTTGGACTCTCTCGAGTTTTGACATTTGACGAGTGATAAAATGGAGATAGATTTATAAAAACATTGAAATAAATGTGCCAAAATAACTGTAAAATACAAATAAATGTTGAAAATTACAAAGGTGGCCCCGATTTGGTCTCGATGGGCAGTGATCTCGGTCTCGACTCTCAGAGGTCTTGGTCTTGTCCTGGTTTTGGGACCCTGTAATCTCGGTCTCAATGAGTGCAGTCTTGACTACAACACCTTGTGATATCCTGACGCGGTAGTTTTCAAGTTAACACCTAACTTTTATCTTTTGTTTAGTAGAGATTGACAATCCCTGATCTGAAATTATCACAAGATGGAACCGAGTGTTTTCTGTTTGAGAGAAAAACTTTAAAGGTTGTATAGAGGATTTTTTTAAGGGAAGTGACATACAGTGACGGTCCTTTTTCAAATGTTGTACATGAGTGACACCACCTTCCTCCTCCACCGCTCCTTCAGTAGAAACATCTCCTCCCGCCTCTTTACTCTAGAAATCACGCTTGTTTACATCCAGTGCGTGTTCAGAATTACTGTTGAAGTGACCTGTTTAGAAATAATTTATCGACCAGCGCATCAGTTTTTAGACCGTTCATCTGCTTCATTCGTCCAATCGCTGGAAGAAATCTCCAAGAATCACATCAGTTTGTCTTGGCTCCTTTTCCCCTTCTCTTCTTCTTTCAGCGACCTCAAAAATTGACTTTCTTTTACGGCGAACCGGTCGTTGATTCTCGTCCGCCATCGCAACAAACTTTGTGCAAATTACGAGGAAGCTACAGTTTGAAAAATTCTCTAAAAACTGCTGCATAAACTACATAATCCCCGCGCACCGACGAGTCAGTTACAGTAGAAACGTAGGGAGTTTGATTGACAACCTAACAGCCAATAGGAAATGAGGCAGCCTTGTTTTCTATTGGCTGATGTTTATCTGGCCTCACTACGTCCACAGTTGATAGATTTTCATTCTTTTTTTTTTGGTCATCATAATTACGAGGCTGCTGCGTCTCTGTACTGGTATTTTAAACTTTCATTGACAATTTGAAATAAAAAAAAAATCCTCCATACAACCTTTAAATATATGCCTAAATATGCAGAATTTGTGTGTTAAACATGTGTGAATGACGCAAACCACAGCTCCAGGTCTGTTTGTGATGAGGAAACATTACATCGTAGATCAGAAAACGGCGTCATATCGTCCCTTTTACACTGTGAGCTCCCTGCGGGCTGCGTCTGTGTCTGTATTTCTCAGCAGCTCTGTTTGTTTTGACTCAGGGGATCTTCTTGGTGTATGACATCACCAGTGAGAGATCGTTCCAGCACATCATGAAGTGGGCCAGTGACGTGGATGAGGTGATACACACACACACAAACACACACACATTCATTTTAGGTTTCCATGCTCCCTGGAGATATTACATTGACTCATTTTCTGGAGTCTGATCCTAACCTTAACATACGCTCTAATTTTAGTATTTTAACTCATATCTGAATTTTAAACCATGTTGTCGATTAATAATAAGGGATTTATTTATGTCATGTCACAGATTTTTTACATACATATTTACACTATAGTAAAGCTTAGGGATGCAATGAATCTGTGTATCATTCGTTCATTCGTTTTTCAAAATAAAACCAAAAATAAGAAAATGAAAACTATATTCTTCATTATTTGTCTCCAAAACCAAAATGAAAAAAACGGATAATGATTTTTGTTTTTTTTGTTTAAATGAATAATGGAAAAAAACAGATAACAGCCGTTTCCCTGACTTAAACTGTGATGCCGAACTTTTGCTCCGCATACGGACTGAACCAGGACAAAACCAGGACTACACTAGGACTACCCCAGGACTGCCCCAGGACTAAACTAGGACTAAACCATTTACAAAACCAGGACAAAACCAGGACTACACTAGGACTAAACCAGGACTAAAACCAGGACAGGACTAAGGACTAAACCATTACAAAACCAGGACAAAACCAGGACTAGCCCAGGACTAAACAGGACTACACTAGGACTAAACCAGGACTAACCAGGACTAAACCAGGACTGCCCCAGGACTAAACCATTGGACAAAACCAGGACTAACAGGACTACAGGACTAAACCAGGACAAAACCAGGACTACAACTAGGACTAAACCAGGACTAAACCAGGACTAAAACCAGGACTACACTAGGACTAAACCAGGACAAAACCAGGACTAAACCAGGACTAAACCAGGACTAAACAGGACTACCCCAGGACTAACCCAGGACTAAACCAGGACAAAACCAGGACTACACTAGGACTAAACCAGGACTAAACCAGGACAAAACCAGGACTACACTAGGACTAAACCAGGACTACAAGGACTAAACCAGGACTACCCAGGACTACCCAGGACTAACCAGGACTAAAACACTACCCCAGGACTAAAACCAGGACTACTAGGACTAAACAGGACAAAAACCAGGACTAAACCAGGACTACACTAGGACTAAACCAGGACAAAACTAGGACTACCCAGGACTAACCATAGGACTAAACCAGGACCAAAACCAGGACAAACCAGGACAAAACCAGGACTACACTAGGACTAAACCAGGACTATCCCAGGATTATCCCAGGACTACACCAGGACTACACCAACACTACCCCAGGACTAAACCAGGACTAAACCAGGACTAAACCAGGACTACACTAGGATTAAACCAGGACTACACTAGGACAAAACCAGGACTACACTGTGACTAAACCAGGACTGAACCAAGACTAAACCAGGACTATCCCAGGATTACACCCAGGACTACACCAGGACTACACCAGGACTACACCAGGACTAAACCAGGACTAAACCAGAACTAAACTGTTAAACCAGGACTGGAGTCCTGGTTTAACAGAAGTGTTGGCACAGGTCTGGAGGTGCTGACCGCAGGAGAAAAGGACCGGTGAGTTAACTACACCTGGTTTAGTCCTGGTTCAGTTCTGGTTCAGTCCGTATGCGGCGCAAAAGTCACGGAAATGGCTGTAATCTGTTTTTTCATTTTGGTTTTGGAGACAAATAATGAAGAAAATAGTTTTTTTCGTTTTCTTATTTTTGGTTTTATTTTGAAAAACAGATGACCGAATGATACACGGATTAAATGCCAATCTCTACTGAACAAAAGGTCAAACGGAGCTGTTAAATTGAAAACTGTTGCTGGTGGAACAGAGCATTTTGAGTATTTGAGATGCAGACAGACTAATAATGTAGAATTACCCAAACGCATGTGACTGAAACAAAACACAATGTATGTTTTTGATGAGGTAACAACATTATATAAAGGCTTGAAGCTCACCAGAATCCATTTTTCGTAATATTGGACCTTTAAATGTTAATACGTTCCCTTTAATTGTGTTGTCCTTTATGAAGCTGCTTTCTATCTCTCTTTATCACAACTAATATAGTTATAATAAAAGTAATTTCCTCTCAGGGCCACACAGTAACACGAGCCGTATTGATCCAAACACACTCCCCCGTTTTCATTTCCTGGTCCCTGCCTTCTGAGGGGCTCTTCACACAATACACCACTGTCTTGACATTTCATCTTTGTCTCTCTTTTTTTTCTTTTTTTTAATACGGTAAATATTGGTACAGTACGCGCCCGAGAAAGTGCAGAAGATCCTGGTTGGGAACAAAGCCGACGAGGAAAACAAGAGGCAGGTGGCCACAGAGCAAGGAAGCAAGGTAATGTGGGAGTAGAGTTTTGGATGTTTTTCAGGAATACATTGGTAAAATCTGATTGAATCGAATAAGATAGAAAGAGGTTCATTTTGTTTACAGATAAATATGATCTAATATGGGCCCTTTAAATGATGTAAACTGAAAAATACGTTCTTGGTGTTGATAATAGTTTGTTCTTTTATCCAGCTGGCCAAAGCCTACGGTATGGACTTCTTTGAAACAAGTGCCTTCACAAATCAGAACATAACAGAGGTGAGCGCAACAAGAATTTGCAATGTATTAAACAGACAAACAACTACCAGAATATCATCAATGTATACACTTACACAGTATTATACTGGGATCCATAACGCAGGAAACATGTACCTGCAGTGTTACGTAATCAAAAAGTACAAATTATGAGTAAATTATCTGTTAAGTTCAGTTAATTACAGTTAGTCATATTTAGGCGTTCATGTTTTTTAATCGGTTAATCTCATTTTTAATCTCTAACTTTACTGTTTCTGAAATGTGAGTGTTTTATTATAAAACCTGTTTTCCTGTTGTTGGACAACACACACACACACACAAAAAAACCATTTATTTATTTTTTTATTTCGGTAATTCCACTCATTGCCGGAAACCCAAACAGAACGCGCACAATAAGACCGATGTAAACGTCATGTTAAAGTTGGCGGTGTCAGTCGCACAATGGACAGTGGAAGAGCAGTAGAACAGAGCAGCAGTGCATTGGTAAAAACGCATTTGTGTCTTGGAAATCCTTCTCCCGATGTGAGATATATATAAAAAAAAACAAATATAAAATCGCCTACAACTTAAAATGTACTGCACTGGTGAAAACAACCTGCATAGACTCATAATATCTGCACTACTGTCCTATAGTGACCTGCCACATGAGGGGACACGCACACACAAACACACACAACACACACAAACACAACACACACACACACACACACACACACACAACACACACACACACACACACTTAATCATCGTCATCAACCTGAGAACCCGCGGACCACGTCTCCTTCCGTAGTTACAGCGCGGACACCACCGTCTCGTGCGCCGCGTGTGGACCGTGTTTTCTCGCGTACGCGTGTAAACCGCGCTTCCTCCTGTGCGCCTCTAAACCAGAACTAACACCAGGACTAACCAGGACTAATCCAGGACTAAACCAGGACTAAACCAGGTTTAAACTAGGACTAAACCACGACTAGAAGACCTGGTCTAAACCAGGTCTAAAAATCCAGGACTAAACCAGAACTAAAACCAGAACTAAACACCAGGACTAACAACCAGGATTAATCCATTCCAGGACTAAACTAGGACTAAAGGGACTAAAGCAGGTCTAAAACCAGGATCTCATTATAAAATTTCTCTATCAATAATATTTTTTAATCTGGTGAAGGAAAGGCTGATCTTGTTTCTGTTTTAACAGACAAAACCTCTTATATTAAGATATCATGGTCTTTGTTTCTTTACAGCAAACAGTTTCTTATTCATGGAGATTTGGGCTCAACAGACAATTTGAGAGATTTGTTAAACAAACAATGAATTTATCAAAGTGGTTGCTAAAATCTATATTAGTCGTTTAAAAACATGACACATATCAAGTAATCCAAAGTATTCAGATTACGTTACTACACTTTAAGTAATTTAATGGATTATGTTACAAACTACATTTTGGGGTGTGTAATCTGTAATCTGTAGGGGATTACATTTTAAAAGTAACCTTCCCAACACTGCACTTACACTATTATTATACTTGGTGATCCATAAACTTGCAGGAAATCTATGTAGCCTGCAGTGTTACAATTAAAAAAATGTACTATAATCACATCGGAGCCTGTGTTGCCAGATATTTAACCTGCAGATAGAGGACACATACAAGTTCTTCTCATTTTCCGTGGATGGACAGGCCTCATGTGAAACGCAGAGCCTCCAGAATTCCCTCACCGAGCTGCAGACGCCGCACTAGCACCGATTCATGATCGTGTGCAGGTTCTGGGGTTTAGGTAGTGACCGTTCAGATCAGAGAGAGGCGTTTTAGGTTTAAACCGACTGGATTTCAACACTGGAACTGGCAACACAAACGGGAGACTCATCTGAGGCTCATTATGCTGTCAGATTATCAGATTAGATGATCTTCTTGAAAAATACTAAATTATAAAATAAACCAAATAGTCATGGGATGGGACGCGACAAAATTCCCACAAGACGAGATGAGATTCTGTTCCACGAGATCGAGACAAGATGAGATTTTGAGACTATTTATAATATCTATATATATAATGTATACGCTACCGGTCAAAAGTTTTAGAACACCACACTTTTTCCAATTTTTTACTGTTTACTGTTGACCAAAACATATTCTAAACTTTTAATTCATGAAAGCAGATATAACAGCTGAACACACTCGTGGCTCGTTCTTTTTACAATAGAAGTCAATTATTCTTCAGAAAGTTCTTCCCAAGTCTGTTGCAGAAGTTCCCATAAATGTGTGGCACTTGTAGGTTTCTTGGCTTTCACTCTTCTGTGCAGTTCATCCCAAACCAGCTCGATGGGGTTTAAGTCTGGACACTGTGCTGGACACTTCATGTTTTCAAGTTTACCATCTTGGACTTGTGTTTTGTTATCTTTTATCTCTTTTTTTAACCTCTGGCTGTTCAGTACTATTTCTTGGACTTGCACAACTTGAATTGCAATAAATAAGTTGTTCTAAAACTTTCGACGGGCAGAGTATATGTGTAGTTCACGTCACAATTTTGCCCCTTACAATTTTGTATACATTTTTCTGTCATTCTGTCACTGTTTTTTGGGAACTGTCGCTTCTCAAAATGTTAACTCGCCAGCGTTTCACCCTTTTTTTGTCCAAATCAAAAGCTAAGATAAATGGGGAGATAATTTTCCTCCTGTGTGCACAATCTCGTGACAATTTTGCAACGTCTTGTAGCACGAAGTCTTGTCCCATTTGTAAAGAATAATTGTTGATTTGAACACGTTTACGTCATACATGAAAACACAGATAGGTCTTTACGTTTATTACATTTTAAATCCAGATCTTCCACACTCTTCCTTCAGTCGCTCTCCCCTGTGCTTACAGACGTTCACCCGTTTAGCAGAGCAGGTGCTGGCTGTCCACAAAAAGGACTTGGATCTCCTGCAGACTTCACTGAGCGACCAGCTGGACCTGTCTGCTCTGGAGGAGGAGGAGGGGCTGTGCGATCACATGACCGGGGACCAGACCAAGGCCTGCTGGTGCTAGGACTAAACCAGGACTTAAAACCAGGACCAAAACAGGACCAAACTATGGACATGGACTGATCTAAAGCACCATTCACAAAGACTCAGAGGTCAGGTCCACACGCCGTAGTGAAGATGCTGCCACTGCAAGCCATTTGGAAGGAGAATTTTGGTTTATTTGTCATGTAATTTCAGTTTTATTTTTAGATCAAGTTAAAAATTGTGGTAATTTGTGTTTATGTTTATGTTTCCTCATCACAAACAGACCTGGAGTTGTGTTTTTTGTTTCCTTCACACATGTTTAATGCACGTTCTTCGCTCAAATGTTAACACAGGAAGTGCTCCACTGTGTTTTTAAACTCCATACACCTTTACTAGAATCATTTTGATAATTTCAGCCCTGGAACTGCCAATCTCTACTGAACAAAAGGTAAAAAGTAGCTGTTCATGACATCACGAGGTGGAACAGAGCATTTTGAGCTTTGGAAATATAGTCAGACTAATAATAAAGAGTTACTCAAGCATGTGTGAATGAAACAAAACACAACTCCAGGTTTATTTTTGAGGATGTAACAACATTATAACACGATTTAAAGCTCACAAGAGTCAATTTTGTGTAATATAGGACCTTTAACCACCAACATGCATTTGATTTTTTAAAGGTGCACTGTGTAACATTTTTGATAATGGGTCTACAGTAGGGCCGGGTATCATTAAGAAGTTGCCGATACGATACATAGGCCATGACACAATACACTGAACTTTTGATTTGATACGATATATTTCAAATCGATTCAGTACGGTTCAATAAAAAACAATGGATAAATCATGGGTGGGAAAAAGTCTTTGTTAAAAGTCTTTGTTAAACCACTTCTTCTGCAAAGTGAATATGAAACAAACATTTTAATCAACAAAACAGTGAAAATGTCAAATGTGTCGCATAAACGAGTTTTATTCTTCTAAACAAGCAACAAAACTGTAGTGCTGTAACAAAATAATTTAGAAAAATATACTAAAAAATACTCAAAGTACAGCAGCTCATGATATCGATACTGTATCATCACATTAAATGACACAATATATCAATATTTCGATATTTTTGCACACCCCTAGTGAGTCTATGGTGTATTTGTGTCCCTGGAGATGTTTAATTTTGTGTGGAATTAGATACTTCAGTCATTCTAGTTTTTATTTCTTAATCGTAATATCAATTCTTACTGTGACCTCCCCACAGATCTGACCTTGTAACTTGGTCTAATAGAGGCACCTGATTGTCTCCATGGAGATAGATGTGTTTAATGCCATACTTTGGATCATTCCAAGCAAAGCAGTTTAATTCATCAGAAAAGTTACGTAGTTTACCTTAAACTACAAATGTTTTTATCAATTTCTTGGTCGTCCTCCTTGTTAATTTCAAAGCAGAGAATGTTATTTTACAGTCTATTATAAGAGATTTAATATAATGAAATAGAAATTTACATTTTATGGTTATAGATTTTATGATTTACTCACCCATAATGCATAAGCCACATAAACCATTGATAACGTTATTTTCTGGTTAGCTCAGTTGTAATATTACCTTACGCTTATGGTAATATTATCAAAAATAATTCAAATTTAATATTACGTTTCGTGCTCTACAAATGTACACCTTGTTACTGTAATTTGAGCCTCAACAGCAGCGTTTTCTATGCCCGATCTGCAGCCCTTTATCTCCGAACTGCAGCTTGTAATGGGGCGTTTGTGCCACTAGAGGGTGCTCTGTGCTTTGCTTAAACACGTCATTCTTTCTAACGTGGACTCGACTGCCTTCAGAACCTTTAAGGGGAGACTGAAATATGCATTTTTATTTGCTTGGGGCGCTTTCCTTGCAAACGTTTAGCCTGTGGGAGATTGTATTTTATTTTATGATGTAGTTGGTTGAGTAGCAGCTGTGCCCAGAGGGAGGAAGAAGAGGAGAGCAAATGGATTCTATCTGTAGCAAATGGTATTTAAATTTGTTATTTAATTTACTTATATTTTTTTTATTGCAGATGCTAAACCCGGGGCAAGTTTCTCATAAGTACTTAAGATGTTTATACTGACTGGCGCATTTGGTAAGATGTAATTCAAGTCCCAAAACTTTAAAGACATGTATAGTAGTGGGTTTTTTGTTTTCATTTTTATTTTTAGCTAAATGTCTATTGCACATTTATTATTATTATTATTATTATTATTTATTTATTTTTTATTTTATTATATATATATTATATATATATATATATATATATATATATATATATATATATATATATATATATATGTAGCCTTAAAAATAATTGTAGCATTTGTGAAGGATTTTATTTTATTTAACTAAACATAAATTATATTTGTACTGACTGCCTCTGACTGACGCATTTGGTAAAATGTAATTCATGTCCCAAAACGTTAAAGACAAGGTATAGCAGTGGGTCTTTTTATTTTCATTTTTATTTTTATTTTTAGCTAAATGTCTATTTTATTATTATTATTATTATTATTATTATTATTATTATTATTTCTTTTTTTTTCTTTTTTTTTATCTTTTTATTTATTTATTTTATTTTTTTGTAGCCTTAAAAACAGTTGTAGCATTTGTGAAGGATTTATTTTTTAACCAAACATAAATTATATTAGTATCTTTGGGGCAGCCAGTTTTTATTTTAATTCATTTTTATTTATCTTAATTATATTTTTGTAAATTTTTTCATAACTAGATGTATAATTAGATGAAGATATTGTTTAAAAATATTTAGGAGCTAGATGTTTTGTTTCTATATAGAGGCCCATAAATCTGTATCTGTTTGACCATTTCATGCAACAACAACAGTCTGGCTCTGGGTGGTACTTGGATGAAACCTGCCCCTTGTGGTTGAGTTGAAAATTGCATTCTTGTACATATAGAAGTAGATAAGATTAGATCAGATTATAAACTTTGTAGGGACATAGAAAGTGAAATATTTATGAATATAATGTATCATCTATGACCCACTTTTTACTGAGTATTGGAGATTGATATGAGATTTTTGCATGCAACCTACTCTTCTTATACTTGTCTACTCAACTTCAGTGAAGTTACTACGACTGGTGGTGTGAGCATTTGACCAGAGTTGCCTGCAGGACCTACAGTATTTGAAGCTACTACTACTACTACTACTACTACTACTACTACTACTACTACCATTACTGCTACTACATTTGAGTGTGGGATTGCTGAAGAGACGTGTGTTTTGAAAAGCTTTTACTTACTTGTATAAATGTATTTGTGTGGCTATATCAATGCAACATGTTACTATGAGATATGATGTCACAAGTTTATGAGTAAAGACTTGCAAATATTCAATTGTTTGTGTTTTTTGTAAAGTATAATTTATTAATGGTTAAAATAATACATAAGAAATATATATAATAATAGTAATACATAAGAAACTTAGTACAACATTAATAAAGATTTGTATATAGTGTATTTTTTGGACTATAAGTCCATGGTTTGGGTGGTCCTGCAACTTATACATTAAAATTTTCAGACTGACAGCCACGAGAGGCTCTAGGCTTGTGTGTCAGTATCTAGTACTACTGTTACTCCTGTATCGCTGTCCCTTGGCTCTACTGCACATGTCTCCTCTAGAAAAAGCCGCTGTCCTGCTGCAAATAGTGAAATATTCAGATGAAAACGGTAATCGAGCAGCAGAAAGAAAGTTTGGATTGAGTGAGACACTTATGAAGGACTTGTGGAAAGCGGGGATGGAGAACACAGCTTCACGGGAACCGGGAGGATGCACCATGAAACTTTCCTCGAAGTCACTGGATCAATCGACAAAGCCTGATCTTCACTGACAATCGTAACCATCCTGTCGGGATTCAGAAAGGCCAGAATAATTCTAACTGGAACAGATGCTGAGTCTGACGACAGCGACGCAGAAGAGGAAGTGACGCTCCGTTTACCTCATGGGTCTATGGTTTATCTCTCGAGGTCGTGCAGAAGTGACACCAAGGATGAAGAATTCAATGGATTTTGTGATTTGGAGCGAGATTGTAAGTTTGGTAAACTTATGTTCTGTTGTTTATGCTATAATTATCTGAATATCTGTTTCTTCTTCATTGCGCATTTTTTGGCTGGTACGACTTATACTCCGAAGCAACTTATAGTCCGGAAAATATGGTATAAATCATGTTAGTGCGATATGAACTATCTCGCACTCTGAGGAGCTTAGGGACCGGCCTCCTGCTGGTGCCCAGAGTCACGGACTAAACACTGGGAGTCAGGTTTCAGGTTCACTCAGCTAAAATCTGGAACAGTTCCTGAAGATGTGAGACAGACTCTACTTTGACACTGTTTAAATCCAGGCTCAGAACGGTTCTGTTTAACTACAAATGACTGAAAGGTTTTTATTCCACACTCTTCTCTTTAATTTATGTAATTAATGTCTCTCTCTCTCTTTTTAATCTTTAATTTTATAATGATTGTTTATGTTTTGATTAGTTTTTATTGTGATTTTAATGCATTTCTTATTCTGTACAGCACTTTGAATTACTTTGCGTGGGAATTGTGCTGTACAAATAATCCTACATACACACACTTTTGAGTTTTTGCAAATGGGGCCTCTGACGACACATTGCACATACAGTACTTCAAATTGTAAGTGTTATTTTATTATTTTTGGCATTAAGCACTTCTATCTCCATGGAAACAAGCAGCTTATTATTCATTTTCCCAACTTGTAATCAAATAAATGCAGCATATAGTGTTCATGTCACACTTCTAAAAACTTACACATGAATTGCAAAGTGGAAAAGTGAGAAAGATGAGAAAGTTTAAAGGGCTCATATTATTACTTTATTTTCTGATCTGTTATAACGTTGTTTCCTCATCACAAACAGACCTGGAGTTGCGTTTTGTTTCATTTAACACACAAATTCTACATAGTTAGGAGTTCTCTCAAACAGAAAACACTCTGTTCCACCTTGTGATGTCATGTAGTAATACAGAAATGCTCCACTGTGTTTTTAAACTCCGTACATCTTCACTAGAATCATTTGGATGATTTCAGTCCTGGAATTTCGTATCTCTACTGAACAAAAAGAAAAAGGTAGTTATTAACTTGAAAACTATCTCTTCATGACATCACAAAGTGGAACGAAGCATTTTGAGCTTTGTAAATGTAGACAGACTAATAATAAAGGGTTTAAATGAAACAAAACAGAACTCCATTTCTGTTTTTGAGGATATAACAACATTATAACATGTCTAAAAACTCACAAAAGTCAATGTAGGTAATATAGGATCTTTTTTTTTTTTTTTTTTTCCAATATTTTTATTAATTTTCAGACCCAAAAAAATTCACATGGACAGTTGACCACATTGTTAACACAGGTCAACATATAACCGAAAAATAAATAATAATATAAAATAATAAGAATAATATTAACGATAACAAGCCAATTCACACACACACACTCATACACATTCACATATTCACTAAACAATATTTGCACAATACAATTTATCAGTCACAGGTAAGTCCGAGATTTATATTCAGTGATCATATGTACTTTTTTTTTTTTTTTTTTTTTTAAAGGTAGAAAATAAATAAATAGAAGAATAATAAAATATAAATTAACTGATTAAATAATTAAATAAAGTAAAATAGGTAAATAAAATAATAATAATAATAATAATAATAATAATAATAATAAATACAAATTAAGTATTATCACTGTTATCATCATCACCATCAATGTTGAACAATAACAATATTATAAGGTAATATAGGATCTT